CAAGATTTCCTGAGTTGTCTTGAAAGTTTCAAACTTGTTCTCAAGGTCGGCTATTTTCTCATGCAATGCTTGGACATTCTCCTGCTTACCGGTAGATTTAATTTCAGGATTTGCTGGAGAAAAGAGTCCTTTTCTCTTCTCTTCCTGACATAGAGAAAAAGAGAATAATATTAGAAGAACTACAGACTGCAGCGCTTTCATATTTACTAATCTATATATTGACTTGTTAGATAAAACTACAAAAATAAACGTCATAATACTTTTTAATGATAAGAAATAGAATGGACATTCAAGAACAAAAGTGTTTAATCTTTCCATGACACGATAGCATTTACGTTTTTTTTTAAATAGGCATTTGGGAAATTTCCCAGATACCCAGGCATTTGGGAAATTTCCTGGATACCCATTCATTTGGAAAATTTCTAAGATACCCAAGCATTTGGGAAATTTCCCAGATACCCAGGCATTTGGGAAATTTCCCAGATACCCAGGCATTTGGTAAATTTCCCGGATACTCAGGTATTTTGGAAATTCCCCAAATTCCTTTAATTATTTGAGGGTGGTAGATTTTTAAGTTTTTGGAAATTACTCAAATGACTGGATAATTGGGGAGTTTTCCAAAAACCTGGGAATTTGGCAAATTTCCAACATACACAGGCATTTGGGAATTTCCCAAATTCCTAAAGGTATTTGAGGGTGGTATATTTTTAAGATTTTGGAAATTTGTCAAATGACTGGATATTTGGGGAATTTCCTGAAAACCTAGGCATTTGGGAAATTTTCCAGATACCCAGGCATTTGGGAAATTTTCCAGATACCCAGGCATTTGTAAAAATTTCCCAGATTCTCAGGCATTTGGGAAATTTCCCAAGTTCCTATAGGTATTTGAGGGTGGTATATTTTTTAGATTTTGGAATTTCTTAAATGACTTGATATTTGGGGAATTTCCCAAAAAACTAGGCATTTGGGAAATTTCCAAGATACCCGGGAATTTGGCAAATTTCTGAGATACCCAGGCATTTGGTAAATTTCCCAGATACCCAAGCATTTGGGAAATTTCCCAGATACCCCTAGGCATTTGGGAAATTTCCCAAATGCCTAGGTATCTTGGAATTTTCCAGTCATTTGAGAAATTTCCAAAATCTTAAAAATAGACCACCCTCAAATATCTGTAGGTATTTGGGAAATTTCCCAGATACCCAGGCATTTGGTAAATTTCCCAGATACCCAGGCATTTGGGATATTTCCCAGATACCCAGGCATTTGGGAAATTTCCCAGATTCTCAGGCATTTGGGAAATTTCCCAAGTTCCTATAGGTATTTGAGGGTGGTATATTTTTAAGATTTTGGAATTTCTTAAATGACTTGATATTTGGTGAATTTCCCAAAAAACTAGACATTTGGGAAATTTCCAAGATACCCGGGAATTTGGCAAATTTCTGAGATACCCAGGCATTTGGGAAATTTCCCCGATACCCAGGCATTTGGGAAATTTCCCAAATTCCTATATGTATTTGAGGGTGGTATATTTTTAAGATTTTGGAAATTTCTCAAATGACTGGATATTTGGGGAATTTCCCAATAACCTAGGCATTTGCGAAATTCCCCATATACCCTGGCATTTGGGAAATTTCCCAAATACCCAGAAATTTGGGAAATTCCCCAAATTCCTATAGGTATTTGGGAAATTTCCCAGATACCCAGGAATTTGGGAAACTTTCCAGATACCCAGGCATTTGGGAAATTTCCCAGATACCCAGGCATTTGGGAAATTTCCCAGATACCCAGGAATTTGGGAAGTTTCCCAGATACTCAGGCATTTGGGAAATTTCCCAAATTCCTATATGTATTTGAGGGTGGTATATTTTTAAGATTTTGGAAATTTCTCAAATGACTGGATATTTGGGGAATTTCCCAATAACCTAGGCATTTGCGAAATTCCCCATATACCCTGGCATTTGGGAAATTTCCCAAATACCCAGAAATTTGGGAAATTCCCCAAATTCCTAAAGGTATTTGGGAAATTTCCCAGATACCCAGGAATTTGGGAAACTTTCCAGATACCCAGGCATTTGGGAAATTTCCCAGATACCCAGGCATTTGGGAAATTTCCCAGATACCCAGGAATTTGGGAAGTTTCCCAGATACTCAGGCATTTGGGAAATTTCCCAAATTCCTATATGTATTTGAGGGTGGTATATTTTTAAGATTTTGGAAATTTCTCAAATGACTGGATATTTGGGGAATTTCCCAATAACCTAGGCATTTGCGAAATTCCCCATATACCCTGGCATTTGGGAAATTTCCCAAATACCCAGAAATTTGGGAAATTCCCCAAATTCCTAAAGGTATTTGGGAAATTTCCCAGATACCCAGGAATTTGGGAAACTTTCCAGATACTCAGGCATTTGGGAAATTCCCCAAATTCCTTAAGGTATTTGAGGGTAGTATATTTTAAAGATTTTGGAAATTTGTCAAATGACTGGATATTTGGGAAATTTCCTTAAAACCTAGGCATTTGGGAAATTTCCCAGATACCCGGGAATTTGGTCAAATTTACAAGATACCCAGGCATTTGGGAAATTTCCCAGACACCCAGGAATTTGGGAAATTTCCCAGATACCCAGGCATTTGGGAAATTTCCCAGATACCCAGGAATTTGGGATATTTTCCAGATACTCAGGCATTTGGGAAATTCCCCAAATTCTTAAAGGTATTTGAATTTCCTGAAAACCTAGACATTTGGGAAATTTCCCAGATACCCAGGCATTTGGGAAATTCCCCAAATGCCTGGGTATCTTGTTCATTTTAGAAATTTCCAAAATCTTAAAAATTACCACCCTCAAATATCTGCAGGTATTTGGGAAATTTCCCAGATACCCAGGCATTAGGGAAATTTCACAGATTCTTAGGCATTTGGGAAATTTCTTTGATACCCAGGCATTTGAGAAATTCCCCAAATGCCTGGGTATTTTGGAAATTTCCAAAATCTTAAAAATATACCACCCACAAATATCTGCAGGTATTTGGGAAATTCCTATTTTTGACATTTTTGATTACTGCTGTCACTTCCTCAATCTTTCAGCAGTCGAAAACAAATATTTTAAATTATTTCTTATTTATAGCTTTTGATGGACCATTTAGAAGCAATCTAATGAAAACAATTTTGAAGACTTTGTAAATTTTTTTATTTTGTGACATATTGAAGTTGTCAAATATTTGATTGATTGTTGTTTCAATTAGTTAAAACTAAATGATTCTAAATTTGTAAAAATATTTCTCAAATTACCACAAATTTTATTTAATCTTAAGTAAATAAAACCTTGAGTTTATTTATCCATAGCAGTTCTTAAGAATATCGATCAATAGTCGAGCCAAGCTAGAACTATGTAGAATGTAGATACAGGGTGTCCCACGAAACATGACATTAGCAAGACAAATTGAAAGTCGTCTTTCAACTTTGAAGTTATTGGTGACATTCAGTCTTCAACCTTCTTTTACATGTAGGATTCCTGAAACAATAACCACAAAATTCGCCTAGTCCTGCATTTTTTGTGCATTCAATAATGCCGGAGATATTAAGAATTTCGTTCAGATTTAATTTTTATTAAATAAAACCAAAATTGTCCAAATCTGAAGGAAATTCATCATATCTCCGGAAATATTGAAAGCACAAAAAAGGCAGGCCACAATTTGGAAATGCCAAGACAAGGGGTATTTTGTGATTATTAGTTATAGAATTTTTCTTCTAAAAAAAGTTTACGAAAAAATGCCGCAAATTATTCTAAGATCTCCTTTAAAATCGTCTAGCTATTGTCATGTTTCGTGGGACACCCTGTACATGGCTAATTGTTAATATATTTTGTGAAATATATTGTTAACCTGTTTACAATACCAAAAAAAGTAATGTTACATAGTCTATACGCAACATCCCCCCTAGTGAACTTCCGACCTACTAACTTTCCGACCTACTGCAATATCGGACCTACACCTGCTGTTTATTTTTGTATTATTTGAGGGTTAGGTTAGGTTAAGACAATTTTTGGGCCGAACGCTGCGGTATAGAACAGGCTAGGGGACCGAGCGCCGCGGCTAGGACATGCTATCGGATTTGGCGTAGGTCAGAAGTGGAGTATAGTGGATTTGCGTATGTCAAAAAATACAGCACCCAAAAAAAGTCTTACAGTAAAACAATTAGGAAGACGACATTTTAAATCAATTTCCAGTTGATAATCTCAGTCCTCGCTGTTTAACGTTTTTTCAACATTCTATGATTAAAACTAGTTTTTGTTTTAACTTGATGATCTGTTAATCTTATAATTATAGCTTAAAAAACAAATATTTCAAAATTGTAATTTCATGTATTCTCAAAGCTAGTAATTTTAGTCATTATAGGCAATTTATACATGGTTTCTGATTTGACGATGCTTAAACATAGAAATCTTTTATCGGAACTGATATATCCTTAATCCTGATCTCTTAATCTGAGAATCCAATGTCACACTTTTGATTTTATTCTTAATCCTTTTTTTGGATATCCCTACGGTATAAAATATAACAATTACAGATACAATGCTAAATCGATAGAACTAATCCGATGCACAAGTCAGCTTTTAGAGCATTTAAGCAAATATAAATTTAATCATGTTAATATGAACCTATTAAAAATATATTTTATCACATTTTAGGACTATCATCATTTAAAACGACCATTAATCCAAAACTTACATTTATTTAATCGATGTTTAGTTCAATTGATATGACACAATTAAAACCAGAAAACAATTTTGAAATAAAAGTTTGTGGAAGGGGTGGGGGGGTGGGGGAGTAGTCCCATGTAACATGTTTGTTGTTGTATTTGGCAATAATACTTTATCGATAAAAGTCGTCTTTAAGATAGATGCGTTGGCTAAACCTTAGCAATAGGTAGGTATCCGTATATATTCATAACTCACGAAACCTTTGCATGTCTTAAGCCAAAAAAACAGGCAGTGTGACTTGTGTACTGTCCGTACTCAATACAGCAAGGCAGTAGTGTAGCACAGAATGCAGAGAACTTTAAGATTTTATTCAAACCTTGAGAAATATGGATTCAGAATTCATCACGCACAGGTCTGTGATCACGTTTTTTTGTATGTAAGTATGAGAATAGGGTACAACAATCTACTTTATAGAGAACTTGCTTAGGAACCCGTCTTTTTCTAAAAACTACATTTTCTCTAAAAAATCGATCAACTCTAGTTTAGAATTTTCAAACCAAATTTTACCAAGTTCCCAAATCAAAATTTAAGGCAAACGGTTAAGTGATTCCTGAGTTTGGATCGGACATACAAACAAACAGACATACAAATAAACAGACAAAAAAAATACTACTTTATATACTATAATATCTAATAACCAGAAAACTGTAGAATATGGAAGCCGACATTACAGCAATACTAAAGTGTATTTGCTGTTGTTACAAAACAAATAGCTTCACTAGTAAGTTATTTAATCACTTATTAAGTGAAGCGGGTCTGTTTACACTCCACAATAGGTGTGTCTCATGCTCATTGGGCTTTTTTAAGTCTTCACTTTAGTTTTAAAGTCGAATTCCTATTCCAGAGTTTTCTGGTTATCACTTTAAATTATGTACAGTGATAACCAGAAACTTCTGGAATAGAAAGTCGACTTTTATATTCAAGTAATGACTTTAAATAGTGATATTGTTGTCGTCTTTCTTCTTTTGAATATTAAATGTTGCAGTATTTTGTAATTTTAAAACTGAGATATGGCTTAAAAAATTTTAAGAATTAAGATTTTTTTTACAAATTGATAGCGGATAGGTTCTTAAGAGTAATAATGCTTTCAATTCAGACTTTCAAACTTGAATGTTCAACCTCTAGGGCAATGGTTACGTTTTTTATTGATTCAGGACAAAATTTAGTTTCTCCAAAAATGATCTGAGTTTGAGGCAAGTGTTCAGCTCCAATACTTTTTCAGGGCACATTAAGCACATTTGTAGAAATAAATTACAAAGAAGGCGTAAAATATTCCAGTGTTCAGATACCAAACAGAGTCTTTGCCACAAACTCAAATTTTCCAATTCCTATATCTTTGTAAACTGTTGGTGGAAACTTTCATATTTCAAGCTCAGACTATGTGATCCAACCAAATTCAAAGTTTGAAATATCGAAGGTCTGCGCCATCGGGTTGCAAAGATGTAGGAATTAGAAAATAAGAGTTTGCGTCAAAAACTGTTTTACTTTCTTGTACAACTCATTATGTTCCTAAATTATATTCTGACTTCTGAACAAATTATTTTTTGCAAACACTCCCTTTTCATGATTGTTTTATTGTAGATGTCTGGGTCTGTTGTCTCCGTCCTGGCTCCGGATCCAGATGGTCGCCTCCGTCTAGATTCAGCAGAGGTTCAGAGAATATTCTCCAGAGAAGATACAAGGCACAGATTAAAAAGATGAAACCAGACAAAATCTAAGATTTGTTGTCCTACATTTTTAAAATATTGTCGTTTTTAATTTCAAGTGACACTGAATATAATACAAAGTATGCGGATGATGCCATGGCCCAATTCACAAAGGTACTTTTTAAACCGTTATATGATCAACAATAAGAAAAATATCTTTGTTGAAAGGCGTTTAATTCTTGCACTTGTGCAACTCTATATTTAAATGGAGCCGGAGTCTGGACACTTTCAGATACGTTTAAATATTCTGTAAAGTCTCTTTAGGGTTGAGAATATTCCGTTTTACTTGTCTTGAAATCTGTAATACAAGGAATCTCCCTGTATCTATCATATCTGTAGCTGGAGCAATGAGAACTGGAAAATCATTTCTTCTCGGTAATTAAATGGAAAACTTTTTACAGTTAGTAATTATCTACCTGTATAAGATATTAGTTAGTAATTATCTACCTGTATAAGATATTAGTTAGTAATTATCTACCTGTATAAGATAGTTAGTAATTATCAACCTGTATAAGATATTAGTTATTAATTATCTACCTGTATAAGATATTAGTTAGTAATTATATTATCTACCTGTATAAGATGAAAAATATCAAAATTTACAGATTTCCTTTTGAAGAAACTGCATTCTATGGATTCTATGGGAACTCAGTCTGAAACTTTTGAACCTAGTTTTCCATGGAGAAGTGGAATGACAAGGCATACCACAGGAATTCAAATTTACACAGGTAAAAAAACGAAATCAGTATAGGTCGTCTTAATTCATAAAAATCTGCAAAGTATATTTTCAGAACCGATTATTGTAAATAAAATGGCGGTTTATCTCATGGATACGCAGGTAATAACTAATAATCAACAACTCAATTTTCTTTTTAAATGAAAAGAAAAAATTACTTTAATTTAAGGGAACATTTGATCACAGAACAACAGTTCGAGATAATATGACGATATTTGCGTTGGCTTCCCTTACTTCATCTCAGCTCATTTATAACCTTATGCACATACTTAGGAAAACAAGACAAAAAAATCACAGAAAACAACAATTTTTTATATTTCATAAATTGTTATTTGTTAAAGTTTTGAAAAACTAACGCCATATTTTTTTGCTGTATTGCACACATAACATTCACATGTTTTTGAATAAATATTTCGTATTTCAATGATTTGTTTTCGTTTGTGTGTATAGAGAAGATCATTTACAAAATTTACAGCTGTTTACAGGTAAAGCATACAGGGATACCCACAGAGAATACGACTTTTATAATGACCTAAAACCCGTTCGGATGTATTTTCGTTCTAAAATAAATTCTTTTTGTGACAAAAGAGATTAATGAAACTAGTTTAGCCGAAACATAGAATCTAAGTAAAAAAAGGCTTAATAAATTCCACACTATAGTTTCAGTAGAAGTAAATATTTCCATAAGACCTGGATTAATTAAAAGTTTTTGGCATCTTCTTCTTCGTCTTCTTCTTGTCAAAATGTATGTCCTATTAATTGAAAAAAGACAACTTTTACTCACCTCTTTTCTGATTATTTATTTATTATTTAGAGTATGGTAGACTAGCTGCAATAGATTCCAAGTTTAAACCTTTTCAAAAACTATTATTTCTGGTGAGAGACTGGCATTATCCTCACGACGCAGGTTAGACAAGTTTTGATGTTTTTTTGAAAATAATTTGTATTGCAAAAGCTCGCAGCAAACGTTTTAAAATCTATTCCAAAAGGTGTTTACAGTTAAACTTATTGTTTCTTTTCTATTGTTTCTTTCCGTTGGAAACGTGTCAAACAAGTCGAATTTATAAATATTTTTTCTTCTTTATATCAGCAAGTACTTGTATAGTATAAAAAATATTTGATTTTTAAGTTATAATAGGGAAAACATTTAACCTATAAAGAAAATTCAAATTAGTTTTATCTATATATAAAGGAACAGAGTTCTTGCAACAAATTCTAATATTCAAATCCCTATATCTTAGCATCCTAATGGTGTAATTACCTTTGATATTATAAACTTTGACTATATTTATCCTACAGAGTTCCTAGTTTGAAAAAGTAAAGGTCTATACAACATCGAATTTCAAAGGTTTGAAAATCAGAGTTTGTTGCAAGAACTCAATTCCTTTGGCTTGCTTGTCCCAATAATAATAAACGTCAAAACGGCTGAACCAATCAGACCTAATTTTGTTGTGTAGGGAAGGTTGGATGGATAAAGATGAAAAATCTTGGCTGGAAAATAAATGTCGATATTTATTATTTTTGAAAATATGCAAACACAAAAATCCGAAAAAAACGATTTACTAAGAAAAATAACGGCAATTGAAGACTACAGTTACCTTCTAAAGTTTATATTAGATTAGGGGCGCGACCTAGTTTGTGTATAAAATTTCATATCTAATTTGTAATTAATCATTTGACCTGTTAGTTTTGCTTCATATCATATATCTTTTAAATTAGTTTTTCAAAACACAAAAGTTTTAAATTTTTGTTGAGTTTAAATATTCTTAAGGATTTGGTTTGGATGGTGGAAATATACTGCTCAATCAAATAATGAAGGCACAGGTACAAACAGACCAAAATACTTGGGGAATAGCCCCCCCCCCCCCTTTATACATATATAAAATATATCTTATGTAAGCTCTGCTTAAAACAAGGTTCTACATGTCTGTGTAAAACAAAAAATCGACGATTATTTTTTTTGATAAGCCCTTACCTTACTTTTATTTTTAAAGAAATTATTTCAAGCAAAAATGATTCTAAACTGTTGAATTGAAAACCAGGAATTCTGTTTCTGAAGGCGCGAAATGTAATAATTGTTCAGGAACTAAACAATATATGATATGAATATATATAAAGATATATAAAAATATATTTTAAATTATATATTTATAGGAAGGTCAAGATGAAAGTTCAAAACTTCTCAGGATTGGAATATTTAAAATAAACATCTTTTCAACGTAAAATTTTGAACGTTTTAAAAGGAAATTGTTTTATTATTAAATTAAAGATTCAGTGGTTTAATGTACATCTAGCTTTTCGAGAAGTAACAACTAGATTTTACTAGGTGCTTTAAAAGTATTCTTTTTTTAAATTTTGTGAAAAAAAATTTATTTGAAAATAAACTGTTAAAAAAAGATGAGGGGTTAAATTTTATCCCCAATTTAATCGATAAGGAAAAGTTTTTTGAAAACCAAAAAAAGTAGAACTTTCCTTGTCGACATTTTTAGATAAAAGTAAAAAAACGACATTTGTTTCACTGTATTTCTTGTAATTTGAATATTGTAAATATTGTAAATTCCTCGGGCGTAGAAAACATATTGAAACCAGTTTTGAGAGTCTTGGATGTTTTTTGTTACCTTTCCCTGGTAGATCTGTTGCTGAGGATCCTAATTTTACGGGACAAAAGGAACTTATAGGTAAACTAGCTGATGAAGTGCCTGGCTTTACCCGTTGAACAATTTTTTAATTTAATAAAAATATAATTTGATTTATAAAAAAATGAATTTTGAAGCAAAAATTTGTTTAGCCTATGTTCCCTCAAAAAATGTCAGTCCAATCGGTCCAACCGTTTGGCCGGCTATATCTAACATATAAATATACAAAGGAATTGAGTTTCTGCAACAAACTCTGATTTTCTTATCCCTCTATCTTTGCAATATTTCAAATTATGAATTCTGTAAAATTAAATAGTCTGACTATGAAATGTAAAAGGTTTATTTACCGTCCAGTTGCAAAGATAGAGGGATTAGAAATTTGAGTTTGTGGCAAAAACTCAATTCCTTTATAAACATGAGCGAAGAGCTTTATTATATAGATAAACACACCATTAACAACAACAACAACAACAAAAACAGCAACAATTTCATATTTTAATTTAATTTTAAGTATGAGTTCTTAAAATCAAATAAAATAAAGTTGATTAATCTGAGAAGTGTGACTTTTAGGGACATTTTTCATTTAAGTTTAATTTAGATCCCCGATTTCATGAGCACCTAGATAACCTGTCCAGTCTTCTACTGTCTCCACACTATTTAAAACCTAAGGTCAAGTTAAAAAATTTTAAATCAAACTGATAAAGATTGATAAGGTCTAAAACTTTTCCGTGAACAACTTGTACGTATGTACAGTGTACATTGTATATTTATGTACATGTATAGGTAGTAGGAGGTAGACTAATGAAGACTGACGATATGTGCGACTACTTTGTGAAGTACATTTATGTATATGTATAGGTAGTAGGAGGTAGAATAATAAAGACTGGAGATATGTACGACTACTTCATGAAGTATATGGAAATATTCTCTGGAGACAGTTTACCAGAACCTAAGGAATCTAATTTTCAGTTTTGATACAAAAAAAATGTTTGTTTTTTTACTAAAAACCCTTTTAAAACATATCCTCAAAACTTCGAAGTTTAATTTTTAAAAGCAAGAAATAAGAATATGGTTCGCCATATTAAACAGTTTTCCTAAGTGAAAGACAGAGTCCAACATTTTTATGAATAAACGCTTTAAATTTTTGTTAATTCATCTTTAAAAATTGGTAAAATTTGATAGTCAATCTACGAGACAACAGCACAACTTGTAAATCTTCATGCTTTAAATGAATCAAAGGTAATTAAATAATTAAATTCAAATTTGAAAAATAGTTTTTTTTCATACTGGACAGAATTCAATCAGTTAGTCTATATATTTACGTTTTTTCTTGTTTCTTCTTGTTTCTTTCTTTGACAACTTGTAAAACTGCCAATAAGAAACATAAAAAGGAAAAAATCAAGATAAAAAACACATTTATATTTTTTTTTCTAGATGCTTTATGTTAGAGAACTAGATGAACATGTTGGAAAATCAAGAAGAGTCGGATCCGAACCTGAACCTGAACCTGAACCTGAACCCGAACCTGCTGATGATCTAACCAGTTTTCACTCCAAAACCTTGAAAAAGAGTATCCGACATTTTAACCAGACTGCAAATTTTGGAGACGCGGAGAGAAAAAAAGTTTATTTAACATCCTTGGAGACAGAAATACTGAAACATTTTGAAACTGTGTTTGCTCTGAATGAGGCTAAAATTTTAAACTTGTTTCATCGAGCCAAGGAGGTTTATGGAGATATTATGGATACCAGGTAAGGATGAATTTAATTTATGTATCCATTTTTTTTAAACTAAATTATTTTTATAACTTTGTTAACCGAATAAAATTTAATGCAAGTACACATTTTTATTGTTTCTTAAAAAGACAGTCGCAGTAATTTCAAATATCTCTTCATTCATAACGATACCCTATAAACCTTTTAATCTGATTTAGACGAATTAAATATGGATATTTTAAACATGTTTTCAATAGACAACGTTTTTAAAGGTATCTTTGTGTATCGGAAATGATATTTCATAAATGGTGAGCCACTTATAATTACGTTTACACTACCTTAAATGTCCAAATAGGAATTTGTTACTCTTCTGTTACAAACTCTGATTTGCTAATCCCAATATCTTTGCAACCCAATGTTGTTTATATGTTAAACTATACATTCTGTGAGATCGAATAAACTCAGTTTGAAAAATCAAAGGATTACAACAAGAGATTGCAGATATCTAGGGATTAGAAAATTTAGTTTGTGTCAAAGACTCTATTCCTTTTGTCTGAAGTATTCTTGTTCCAGGTTTCAAGGTTCCGGAGCTGTTCATGTCAAGGACCTAAAATCTTTTCATGAGGAGGCAAGGAGATCTAGTGAAGAGAAATTTAGAAACAGTTGGGGTAAACCACTCTCTCTAGAACTGCTTTTACAGTTAGGGCAGGTAAAGTTTAGAAACAATTGGGGTAAACAACTCTCCCAGGACCTTTTTATACAGTTAGGGCAGGTAAAGTTTAGAAACAGTTGGTGTAAACTACTCTCTCAAGACCTGTTTAAACAGAATTAATAGGATTAAAATTATCATATAATTTTTGTATTTAACTTTTTTTATCATTTTTAGTTTACAAAGAAAAGGTTTGGAGAATATGAAACCTTGAATACAGCCCGGATACATCTGCAAATACAACAATACAAGGTATATATTAGAAATATTTATCAATAAAGTCAGTTGATGATGAGTAAAACAAAGTCAGATATCATAAAGTAGTAATCTCTGTTTGGGTGTCTGTTTGTATGTCCGATTATAACTCATAAATCCCTGAACCAATTTTCCTCAGGTTTTGATTGGGAACTCTGTAGACTAGAACCTCGGGAATTTACTTAGCTTGGTTTAAAAACCCTTAATTGAGTGAGTTTACTAGTATATCTAGGAAAAACTAGTTCCCAGCCAGAAAGAAACATAGAGAAATATAGACAGAGAGAGATATACAAACTAAACAAGACAAAAAAAGCATAGAGCAATAAAGAAACAAAAATACAAACAGAGAAAGAGACTAAAAATAGGAAAAGACGCAAACAGAAAAAGAAATATAAAAAGAGCCAAACAAAGCAACACAAATAGAGACTGAAACAAAAACAGAAGCAGAAACAGAAAAGGAAAAAGAAATAGATACACTGTACATATAAAAAAAGAAATAGATACACTGTACATATAAAAAAAGAAATAGATACACTGTACATATAAAAAAAGAAATAGATACACTGTACATATAAAAAAAGAAATAGATACACTGTACATATAAAAAAAAGAAATAGATACACTGTACATATAAAAAAGAAATAGATACACTGTACATATAAAAAAAGAAATAGATACACTGTACATATAAAAAAAGAAATAGATACACTGTACATATAAAGAAAGAAATAGATACACTGTACATATAAAGAAAGATAGAAATGGAAAGAAAATTAACAAATATAAAGAGAGAGCGCAAGATCATGAAAAAGACCAAGAGAAAGACAGAGATTGCATGTCAAGAATCAGTGGTATATATTGGATCAATTCAGTAACAATACCTTCATGTAGGAGACATGCATCCTAGGGTATTATACAATCCCTTGATCTGGGAGTGTTGTACTCTGGGGTACTGTACACTCCCATTATCTAGGAGAGTTGTACTCTGGGGTACTGTACAATCCCTTCATCTGGGAGAGTTGTACTCTGGGGTACTGTACACTCCCATTATCTAGGAGAGTTGTACTCTGGGGTACTGTACAATCCCTTCATCTGGGAGAGTTGTACTCTGGGGTACTGTACACTCCCATTATCTAGGAGAGTTGTACTCTGGGGTACTGTACAATCCCTTTATCTAGGAGAGTTGTACTCAGGAGTACTGTACAATCCCTTTATCTTGGAGAGTTGTACTCTGGAGTACTGTACAATCCCATTATCTAGTACAGTTGTACTCTGGAGTACTGTACAATCCCTTTATGTTGGAGAGTTGTACTCTGGGGTACTTTACAATCCCTTCATCTGGGAGAGTTGTAGTATGGAGCACTGTAAAATCTCTTCATCTGGGAGAGTTGTGCACTGGGGTACTGTACAATCCCATTATCTAATACAGTAGTACTCTGGAGTACTGTACAATCCCTTTATCTAGGAGAGTTGTAGTATGGAGCACTGTACAATCCCTTTATCTAGAAGAGTTGTATCCTAGAGTATTGTACAATCCCTTTATCTAGAAGAGTTGTACTCTGGAGTACTGTACACTCCTTTTATTTAGGAGAGTTGTATCCTAGAGTACTGTACAATCCCTTTATCTAGGAGAGTTGTATCCTACAGTATTGTACAATCCCATTATATCTAGGAGAGTTGTATCATAGAGTATTGTAAAAGAATGGAAACTGCCCTGGAGGGACCATTTAGGTAAGCTATCCTCAATAATTTTATTAAAAAGTAGTCGCTAAAGTGAGAACCAGAAAACTGTACAAATACAATAGGAAGTCGACTGCAAGCCAACAATTAAGCGAAATCGTTTGCGCACCCGGCAAAACTGCTGTGCATCGTGTTTATTAGAATATTCAAAGTCTAACCGTCGTCTTCGTATTCCACTGTTTTCTGTTTCTCACTGTATAACACTGTGGAGTTGGAAGATGAAGTTCAATCTTCTGTGTATTTGATATTGTTAAAGAGCGAATAGTTTTACAAATAGCTTGGAAGTTAATTTAACAGGTGAAATGGGTTTTTGAAAGAAAAATTTTAATGTTTCATGTTTATTGGATTATTTAAAATCGTATATATCTTGGATAATGAATTCTTTAATTATATTTAGTTAATTATTCTTTTTATGCAGTTTTTAATTAAAGCAATTCATAAAGTACAAAGCAAACTGTGTTTTTTCGATTAAATTATATCTTTATTTTGTAAAACTACCTGGATTTTAGCAAGATTTAAGATTTAAGATTTAAGCATGTCGAGGGCGGATGTTCCAATTTTAGTGAAAACAGTTTTTTTCTTATTTTTATATTTCTTTTTTTTATTACGGTTTTTATTTTAAGTATCAGTCCCTTGAAGCTTGAGTATGAACACAAGGCAGTAAAGAAAAGTATTCTGGACGGGATGTCCTTGAAGGAGAACTACGGGACTAAGATACTGGAGGAATCCTGCAACCAGGGGGAGAAGGTCCTGGAGGAGAAGGGTTCTCAGTTTCAGGCTCTCAACCAGGAGAAGATGGTTCATAATAGGGTCAAAAGGACGATCAAACAACTCGGGTAGAGTTTTTAAACCTTTTTAAATTGAACTTATTACTCTCAGATCTATTTTTTAGCTTCTAGAAATTCTAGAAACTCTTTTTTCTAGAATTTCTTAATCTAGACAATACATATAAATAACCTGAGGTCGAAACTTGTGTATCGTTAATCCATTTGAAAACAAAAGATTCCCAGATTTATGAACGCTTAAAGGGAGTGTTCGCGAAAAATGAAAAGGGTATAGGCTTAATGCGATGAAAAGCGCTTTTGATCGCTACCAATCTTACTTCTATCTGTTGCGTCTATAAGTCATCGATTATCTTTCGCCACATTTGTATATATTTGTGAGCCGAACAAAAGGAATAATGCTCGAAAGAGGGAAATAAGGCGAGTTGGCAAGGAAAACACTCTTTTCTACCAGACACAGATAGATGATAACTTCTTGAAAAAGTATATTTCAGTAACGAGGTTTCCTACTAAATACAAATTGTTATTGGCGTACATGCATATAAATAATAATTGTTAATAAAGATTAAACAGTTGAAGGTTTTATCAATAAATGAGTATTGTTGTGAATCGATAAATAAAGGGTTTAAAAAGGTACTGTTGTGAATTAGGTATATGGAACTTACAATCTAGAAAACTGTGTTAGGCCGAAAAGTTGTTTGAACTGAAGTCTAAAGCAATTTAATTCTTCTGAAATGAACATTTATCTGGTTAAAGTAATTTCACTGTTTATTTGTAAATGATTCACTGAAAATTAGGTTTAAATTGGTTTTTTTTGCACGTTAAGTTCCATGAGGTTTTTGTTTATATTACTCGAAAGCCTTGAGAAGGTTTGGTTTGGTAAGTGGACGGAGGGTGTAGCGTTACATCCAGACCGGGGTAATATTTGGCCCGGGTGCAATACAAAGACGACCTAAGCAAAAACGATAGAGTATATAAAGCTAAAATTTCAGTCTGCAAAAGAGTGCAAAACATGCTTAAATATTGTACATAATGTGTGTGCTTCTAAGTTTTAATTTTATGGCCTACCAAACAAAAAATTGTAACAATTTCAATAACAATGATAATGTGCAGCTTTAAGTCCGTCAAAGTAAACAATTTTTGGACCCCCCCCCCGTTCTATCAATTTTTTACATAACCAGCGGTAATTTCCTAATATACGATTTTTT